TCGTGCAGTTCCTTTTGGTCCATAGCCAGTATTGCGTGGTGGTGTATCCTTTAACTGTTCAGGATAATTGTAATCAAAAAAAGTTTCTTTTCTTCTGCTAATTTTTCTGGTTTTATATGGTATATCATCTGCCATGACAATTTCCAGAGCACAACAGAGAGTTCCTCCCATACTACAGTGAGAGGGCCTTTTGCTGGTGCCAAAGTAGGTCCGATGCCAAGAGTTGCCGAAACCTGATGCAGTCATCGTCTTCCTGCAACTGAGATAACATCCAATGAACATGAGATGCAAAGATTGTGAGATCGACTCGTCGTCGCCACTATGATCAGACAACAAAAAATGGGGATCGTCCGATCGACGCGTCGCACGAATCTCAAGATCGTCCCATCGATCATGTCATTTGTGGGGCCCACACCATCCACCTACCAGTAGGAGCCCGTGCTGCTGTCTGACGGGAACCAAACCCTCCAAATCCAAGTACCGCTCCTGTGTGGCGTACCGTTCACCAGCCAGAGAAGTAGGGCTTCCCATTCGTCAGCTGCGCGGGTCCCACAGAGGTCGGACACATTCGAGTAGGGGGCCCTACGTATTCAATCCAAGAGGAAGCCGTTCTCCCCCGCCTGGTGGCTCGGCCAAGCCATATACATGTTTGACTAGGGGGCACATGACATGTAGTGCATGTACTTATCGTGAAGGCCCTGCAACGTGACGAGCACGTATGGCCAAATCATGCACTGAGCTCTTCCATGCAAAAGGAACTCTCGATGTGGATGTTGTTGGGCCCAAATGCTTATGTTTGGGCCTTCTCTGAGACCACGAGGCAGCATCAATCAGGTTTTGACGTGCATCTCAAAGCAGCGTTGGGATTGGATGTGCTGCTCTGCTGCCATTGGATGGGATTGGAACAGATCAAATGATGGCAAATTGCAAGTACATATCATTCCAACAAAGTACCTATCTCAACTAATCTAATATAATCCATGGAAAATATAAAGTCAATTTTCAATATAAAATATGGGCAAAGAAATGCAACTACAATTAAGTAATAAAATCTCCTACATCTTCTGTTCTGATTAAAACATTAAATTTCAAGTTTTGCAATTACACTCCACCATGTGACCAACTTATGCACATAAGATTTTAAGGAAGTCAACTCTTGGTCTGAGGCTTTTTACTAATTTAATTCTTAGGTCTAGTAGATCAAAAGCAACCCAAATTATCATCATAGCCTATGAGATAGTAGGCATCAATATTTAATGAAGGATATTAGGCAAAGAGTAACACATTGTGATTTTAAATTGATGTGGATAGACTGAGGTCAAAAGGTTTCAAAGGCAGGAGATTAAGTACCCTTAGGCAATGGAATTATGAGCCTTCATTGTTTCTTTAATGCAAAGTAGGATTTGGGGCAAAAGCATGAGAGAATTGTCAACACTAGGTAAACTTTGGTCACAAAGAGGCTATAGATGAAGGTTACTTTGGATATATATATACATATATATAAATATATATATCAAAAACCAACAGAAGAAATTTAAAAGATGATGATAATTCATTACAATCATGCATGTAAAAGGGATAAAGAAGAAGAAACAAGAAGCATCCAGAAGATGGATGTGTTATTTAGGTGGAATCACAAGGAAGAGAAACAGATTATTCCAAATGCCATGGGAAGGAAAAGGATTGATAGGAACATATGGATTATTTAATATGGCATCAGATCCTCAAGGATCAATTCACATGCATACAGACCTGTGTTCTCTTGTTTGGCCACACATGGAAGAATAGTGAGATAGCTGTGAGTGTAGGAAAAAGACATACAATAGCTTCTTGGAGAATTCTAGGGGAAATAACCCTAATGCTAGCTCTAGAGGACATGGATTTTTGGACAACATTGTTTTGTATGCTTCTCCTGTTTGGGTAGGCAATCACACCTCAACTGTTGACCAGAAAACAATTACACTTTTTTCACTTTTTTTATGAAAGATATTTTGTGTATAATAATATTATACCAAGGAGAGAGAATATTCTGTAGATTAATTCATGCATTTTATTTGGTAGACACTATGTGAAAATTGAAATAAAAATAATTAGAATTGAAACAGCTTGTTCTCTCAATATATTTAGTTCATAAAATTGGATTAAAAATTGAAGTTCGAAATAAGAAAATATATTATTTTGTTCAAAATTAACTTAATGCTGATAATTATTAATTTTATATTTGAGTTAATTTGATTGTAAATACAAAGGGAGATAGATATTCTTGTATTCGAAAAGTTTTTCACATCAAAATTTTAGAAATAAGGATTGAAATCTCTCATGTCATCAACTAAATGATAAAGTTAGAATAATTAATTGGGATTCAGATTTCAATGATTGAATCTTCTATAAAAAAAAAAGCCAACATAATGGTTGACATCTTATGATACAATGGAATGGAAGTGTTAAAGCATTTTAGCCCAACATTTCAATAGATAAAAAATCAATTCAAATACAAAAAAATAAAAAAAAAAATAGAGGAAAACTGAAAATTAAGTGCAATAATAGAACTTGGTTTAAGCAATAAGAAAAATTGACTTGCCATCATTCCAATGTTTGTGTGAGAACCCTAAATACTTGAAATTAATGCCAAGAATACAAACACTACTATTTGGCCAATTGGATGGTGACTTTGGTCAGTATGCCACAGACTTGACTTCTCACAATGAAAGAGATTGTTGGTTCCACCATCTTTCTCATGGCCTAAAGCTCGTCGTCCCCAAGCATCAAATTTCAACAAAGGAATTTTGTCCCCATTCTTGATTTAACTTCAAGTACAAAGGCAAGTTGACACCCGAGTTTGAAGTCAGTCAGTGAGCCATTATTTCAAGGGTTGAAAACTTGGCTAAAGTAACAGAAGCAAAAGTGAAAGTGAGAGGTGAAGCAAATTTGGAGGTGGGGATCGAATGGATGAATTAGTGTGAAGCTTCAATCAATATTTTTCTTCGGGTATATCATTTCGGCTGTGAAAAAAAATGGATAAGCATTGATGATGGGGAAATCAGATTCATATTATTTTAGATATCATACAATGTTATGAAAAAATAGAAAACCTAACTTTCGAATACAAGAAATTAAATAAAGAGCTTTAAAGAAATAAAACTGTATTTTCGTCGATCCCGTGTAGATGTTTCTCGACAAAACTTATTTTCTCGTTTTAATCAGAGTTAGATTTATTTTATTTTCTATAATGATCTAAGTGACTTTACGATAAACAAATTATTCAAAAGCTAATACAAAAAATATATCAATTATATAATTTAAATATAAAGTAGATTGGAAAATAAAATAAGTATAATATATATAATTTACTTAAAAACCAATCAAATAAGTTTTATATTTTCATATTATTACACATAATTTTATATTTTTATAAATATATGCATGTAATTGGATCTAAACTTATGTTCGTATATGTATTTAGAAGATTTTGGATGGTTGGATTCAGATACAAATAAACATTTATAATCATATCTAATCCAAATAATAGGATCAAAAATATATTTGTATTTTTTCAAAATTTATCCTCGCTTTTCAAAATGATAACCCAATATTTCTCTCTCTATCTGTCTCTCTCCTTAATTTAACCACTCAAAATAAGTAAGAGCAGAAGAAAAAAAAGTTTTATACAGAAATAATAAAAAAGACAAACGAGGTGTTTAACTCATCACTTTTGAAACAAAGTCACTCTCTCTCTCTCTCTTATCTCCAGGGTTTTAGGTTGCACTCGACTTCATAGTTTCTGCAACCTAAAACTGAACCATGACAACTCACAAGAAGAAGGTGAAAGAAAGTGAGAGTGCTACGATCTAGAAAGGAATATTGGGGTTGGCAGATAAAGACAAGCAATAGAAGTGTTCATGGATGAAAAGCGTCGAGAGGAAAAGGAGTAAACAAAACCCAAAGGACTCTTCTCCCTCCATGTATGAGAGAGAGAGAGAGAGAGAGAGAGAAGACACAAGGCTTCCGACAAAGATTGCAAACAGGGTACGGGTTTCATGAACCCCGTAGTCCCACAACACACACTGTTATCCTCCTCTCCCTGAAACCCGCCCCCCAGCTCGGCTTTTAAGGCCTCTCCTTCCTTGTTTATGCCTGTTTGTGTGCCCAAGGGAATGTTTTGAGCATCAAAACAATCCAACACTAGCAATCAATTAACTTGTTTGGCCCATCTATGATATGTGCAACTCTCTAGTGATTTGTTGCCTAATGCCTTAAACACTTGCAATTATTAGATCACAATGTGGCAGCAGGCCAAAATCACCTATGATTAAGTCTACAGCCTTAGGTTTTGGCTCCTTGTATACATATTTTATACAATACATGACTGCAGGTGACAAAGGTTCCAGAAGAACTATTACGATTGATTTCTCATAGTTAAAGCATTCCTTGCCGTAAGAAACACAGGAGGAAGTGAAAATTGCCGATCGAGATAACATGTGATTTATCAATGGATCAGACCTCCTCATAATTAAGCAGCAACTATGATGTTGCTTGACACACACACACTTGACCATTTGCAGTGGGGGCACATTCTCCACAGCCTTGCTATGAGAACACCACAGAAGTTAGCTTCGAGTCCATTCTTGCCAAATCATGATTCAAGTCAACCCATTTATATGATTCATTTCAAGTGCACAGTCATCTTGCTTTTATCATGCTTACCTGATACTTCACTCTTCCTTTTCCAAGGGAGGATTCATGTGTCATCATGTCTCAATCCCATTAGATCAGTTGGGTAAGTAGAGGTTTTAAGAATGCTACTACTCATATCCCTATGCCTATGTTGCCAACCCTTGGCCCTAAATATACCTTCGGACACCTCCTTAAAGTTTCAACCCACTCCTGGTCTGAAGGCACTGCCATTGCCTTTTTGCTCTACTTTATCATAAAGCAAAAGCAGTGAAAAAAGTGAGGGGGGCGAGAATAAAAGTAAGTAAAAGAAAATATAAGAGACTGAGGAGAGAGAGAGGAAGGGAACAAGAAAACAAAAGGCTCCCTACCCTCATGTCTTAAGGTTCCTCCAAACATGGCCTGTGTTTTCGTTCTTCTCTCAGCTATGATCCATTGAGACAGGAGAAGCAAAACTTCTGAGGATTGACTTGGGAGTGTGGAAGCACAAGGAGATCTGAAGCAGAAGTAGACCCCCAAAAGTTGAGGCATGAATAGAGGAGTGTTTCGGAGCTCTCTGGTGCAGCAGCAGATGATGGAGGGAAGTCCAAACTGCTGGAGCACGAACAATATGAAGCCACCTCCTGAGCTACCCTTTCCTCTACTTCCTGCCTCTTCTTCCCCTTCGGTCTTCCCGCAGAACCCACAGCCTTCCGATACCGAGATCTCACCTTGGCAAGATAGCCACGACTTGTTGGAGTCATGGTGCCAGCTATTGTTGTAACTCTCTCTCTCTCTCTCTCTCTCTCTATCTATCTATCTATCTCTGTTGACAATAATTGTGCTATATGCTGAGTTTTCATGATTAAGATGAGTTTTTGCTGAGATGCCTCCACCGAGATCTAAACAATTCTTTTGTTTTCCGGACAAGAAAGAAGATTAATTGGTTTCAGATTTGCATTTACAAGTCAATCACTCTCTCCTGCATACAAAAACCCAAACAAGTCTTAGTTTCTAATCTTGTTTTGCTGCTTCGATGCAGATCTTCCAGGGGAGGACTTGTGGGAGAAGAAGAGAAGTATGGTTGGACTCCTTTCCAGACCAAGAAGATGATGAGTAGTGATGACCCGCGTGATGAGGTACTGTTCCCCTCAGCTACTGCGCATATAGCTGACATGAAGCAGGAGTACTCTGGAAGTGGATATGTGCATAGCCATGGGAACGAAGGGATCCAGGTCTCTAGATCTGCATGGGGTCAAATCCTACCGGCTTCATCTCCAAGATCCTGTATCACAACCAGTTTCAGCACTAACATATTGGACTTCTCGAACATGGCACGTCGCCAACCAGACAATTCGTCGGAGGTAAGAGAACCACTGTGGATTCAATGCGTTCTCCTTTTCCTAGGATTATAAGCTTCGTATTTGGATCCTTCTGTATGTTTCTCTGAAGTTGTCTTACCTTCGACAGTGCAACAGCACAGAAACTGCTCCAAACAAGAAGGCTAGGGTTCAGGGATCTTTTTCTCCAAAATCTACTCTCAAGGTCTATCTCTGCTAACCACTAATCTACAAGCAAACTTGAAGCTAAAAAGAGTTTAATTACCATGATCAAAGAAGCAAAAGAAATGGCCATTGATCTCATGTTTTCTTGTTTGCTTTTCAGGTGAGGAAGGAGAAGTTAGGGGATCGAATAACAGCACTTCACCAGTTAGTCTCCCCCTTCGGAAAGGTATATTACTACACCATGCAGCAGATACAGGTCTCCAAGTTCGTATTGGAGATTCCAATTTCCTTTACTATTGGAAATCTACTTTGTATTTTTTTCTTTTCATTCTGCTTTGTTGTTTGAGCAACGGAGATCTGACATGGAACTCCTTTTCAGACTGACACTGCGTCTGTATTGCAAGAAGCCATTGGCTACATCAGATTCCTCCAGAGTCAAATTGAGGTCCAAGTCTCTTCTCTCTCTCTCTCT